AAGCCTCCTGTCAACGCAAGGCAGCTTACGTCCGGATTCATGTAGTCAGTGCTGTTCTTTCCCTTGACATGCTCATAAGCAACAAAAGCAAATCTTCACTTGACTTTCCCAACAGATCAATAGAGAAAACTATGTCAACCAATCTGCGCATGTAGGCTAGCTGTAATACCCCCGTCACCTAGCAACAACCAGACCTTAAGCTTCCCGGTCTAAAGCACTTATGGACTGATGGTTGCTGAACGCCGGCCTCGTAAGCCGGGGGTGGACTACGTGTTCATTCTGACCTTACCCTCCTATTGCAGCCATCATTCATAGGCTCGCAGAAATCAGCGCCAGTTAATGTCCGTTTACCCCTCCTTCTCACGCAGTCACCCTACATATCACGTCTTACCCGCTAACCACTGACAAGACCCGGGGTCGTGCTTTATCGGGTAATCCAGGACTTTAGGGCCCAAACTAGACAGGACGATCTGGCGATCCCATCCTTCACGGGATAGCTTTTGGTTGTTCGCGTGGGCAATTCCCTGGACAGAACTGTGAAAACTCACCATGGTCAACACCATCACCAACTCATTGGCAGCTACCAGGCCGTGGGTAGTCATATGTGCCGTCCATATTGCATAAACCCGGTTGGTTATCTCTCTATCAGCTGAATTGCGTAGAGTTCAAAACGGGCAGACGAAGAAGCCCATATGTCGTCTAGCTCGTGACTTGCAAGTCAAGATAAGCATATCCTGCCCAGCTCTCTAGTCATATGGGGGGCCCGTTGGACTTGTCAGTTGACACTTGCGTGGGAGGTTGTACAGCTGATAAATGATGCTCGTAATGCTTATACGTGCCAAGTCCGAAACAGCACCCTGTAAGGAGATCATTATCATGCCATTGGTTCCCTGCTTGATGGAGATTAAAAGGACCAAAATTGCAATTCACGAGACCCGAAGAAAAAAGCAAGCTGACACCGACAATCTGGGGGATTGCCCGTCTCCATCGGAATATTGTCGAAGACTGACGACGACGACATCTTGTGGTAAGGCAGTAGGTGTGAGATTAGATAAGCTTCAATACCCAGCTGTTGCCCAGCTATATATAGGAAATACTGTATCATACGAAACAGCGGTATTTCACCGAAACATCTCCACACTAGCAAAATCATCGCTTTTCTCGCCTGGTCTGCCCCGTAGGGGCGCTTGATACTTTAATTGTCGCTGCTCAGGCAATTTGCCTAGAATCACAGGCTAATTGGAATGTTCGTCATACGCCGGATATCGGGCTGGCTGCAGCTCGATAGGCAAGTATCCTGACTTGATTGCCGTTTTCACGGACAGAGATCGACTAGCCTTGGAATCGGATGGATGATCGACCGTTTCTACCCTAAAGTGGACAGACGCGTTGACTAAATTGAAGGGTTTGCCGGTCGAGCCCCGCAAGCCTTGTCAGATGATTACCAGGGATATCCCGTCCATTTGTCTTGTCGTTGTGGCTGTAACACAGGGTATTGGACCCTTGATGCTAGTAGTATTTACAGTGCGAGACAAGATGTACTTACCCTGCTGTTTTTCGTAGGTAAACGATTTTGCCTGTGGTGAGCCTCATAACCCAAGACCGGCGTCAAAGCTTGGAAAACCAAGCAATTAACTGGGACACTGGAACTGATACCGATCCGGCAAAGCTTCCGATCAGAGGCACTAGGCGGGAGGGTCTAGAAGAGACTCTGTGGCGCAAATGGAGCGGGTCAAGCCGTGACGAACCAACAAATTGCAATCGGATTCCACGGCAACCATGATTCATGTGTTACAGCACAAACTATGTGTGAAACTTCTCTAGATGACTGGCCAGCGTAGCTATCAACTCCTCTGTATACCTGTAGCCTGAGAAGTTAAGAGCAGCCAAACATTGTGCCTGAGTATCAGTTTCCATAGTAAAGAGAGCTAGGCCAAGCATCACATGGCGGTTGTGGACCTGAGCTTCGGCCTCAAGAGGTAAGTAGTTATCAGCTGCCGACAACCGAGCCGAGTCAACCGGGCTCTTCAATTGACATACCGATTGACAAAACATCGACGCTACACCTCCACAGAGAATCTCAGGATGAAGGTTTTACAGACGGATGCAGAAGCTTTCGTACAGTCAACGTAGGTTATGCTAGTGCTTTCCTGATGGTTGATAGAGGTAGATATAGGAAGGCCAACACACGAGCTGAAGAGACTTATAGGCAGATATCTTCTCCAGGAAAGAGAACAGCAACATGTTTAGATTTAGCATTAGTATCATTTCTTCAAAGGTTGCCACTCATGTCTTAGACCAAGCCGGATGGCCATGGTGTCGCCGAGCTCCATCGCCTTATGGAGGACATGTGAAACTTAGCCATCACAAAATTGATCTTCTGTCTCGCCCACTTGTTCTGAGAAATAAGGCACCATCAATTAGTGGTGTAAGATGGTAAAATAATGACATTGCCTCGAATCAGCCCACAAACCGATATGAGGCTGGAGGACGCAATTGGTGGGAAGCTTGTAGCAGTCTATCGTCAGCGAACTTATGAAGACAGTAAGAAACTTGAGCTCTGTATTGTGTTTCGACCTCGATCGTTGTAGTCTTCTCCTCGGACAGACAATGGCCATCGTTGATCTGACCTCATTCCAAAGGATGTCTGAAAGAACAAATGCCATTCTGGGGTGAGATGGGAGGTGATGAAGAGGTCTCGGGTTATGTCAGATCTAATATGTAAAAGTGAAGACGTACAAAGAAAATTATGTTCAAGCTGTGATGATGAGCCTCATGAACGTTTATGTCGCCGAGGAAGACTTGAAGTGATGGAATACAGCTAGTATCAATACGCATACTGTATGCCGTGTAGATCGATATATTACCAGTAAGCTTCCATACGTTACCGCACCCCTGTGCTTACAGTACGCGCTTGGTAGCAGAATCTATGCCAGTGCCCTACGCTCGATCCTCCCCATTTACTATGTACATTGTCGATCTTAGATCTGTCGGTCTGCAAAGTTGCCCGAAAGCGGGAAATCAGCCTGCTCCATCACTGCTTCGCAGATCCGGTATCCTCGACCGCATCTTCCCGGTCCCAGCTCTCTGTTTCCAATGTGCGGACCCTCGTTTCTATATCAAGTATGCGCTCCTGCCAGAATTTCTTAGCTTTCTCTTGAAGATCCCAGGTGGATTTGAACTGTTCCATGATAAACGGGGGAAGCTCCGCCTTCTTGATTGCCTTGTAGTCATAAATGACCAGGTCCTCGGAAACGCGGGCAGCGGGCCGTTGGCGAGCCTCGGAGACTATCATCGCATGGAGATAGAACCCATGACGAGGTGCATCAGGGGATGTCGGGTCGTGAACCAGCTTATGATATACCGTAACTTTATCGGGGTAGGTCATGGGCTGCAAAGAGAGACGAAGTATTAGCGATCAGTCCTATATCTCAGCTGAGAAGACCGTACAAATTTGTAGTCAATCTTGATACTTCGAAGAATGAGTCCGATGCCCTTTGAGCTGACAAGATTCAACCACTCTGTCTTATGGGCCGGGTCTAGATGCATGGCAAAGTTGCGGGTATAGTACACGCGCGCCGTCTCTGCATATCGGGGGTATGTGACGTTGTTCACATGTCCTAATCAGACGCTCATGATGTTAGACCCCTTGCTGTAATCCACTGACCCAATGTTGCTTTGAAAAGAAATATACACACCCTAAACTCACGAGTTAGTCGACATCACTTGTTGCTTGAAAGAAGTTCCTGGCTTACCATGCTGTCCTGTCCAATGCAAGCGCCTACATTAGCATATATGCATCATGCCATATGTAAGCTGCCATGCACTAGGTGACTATATATCATACCATCTCTCCCCACGCAACGCTCTGTTGGAATAGCCCCCTTCGTGTCTCATCTGTCAAATAGCCTTCGCTGCCAGCGATCAATTCTCGCCAATCCCTCGCAATCTGCTGTAGGATCTCCCCGGCTTCTTGAATCTGCGGGGGCTTTAATCCGAACATCATGCATCTGCCGATTCTTCGCTTGGTCATGGTCAGCCATCGTGGATCAATGGTGTGAGGCTTCTTTGGCGTTGTTCCGGGGGCGGAAACGGGGGCATTTCGGAATGCGGTCGAGACGGAGAAGAGTCGAGTGGTAAGTGGTGAAGATTGAGCGGCAAATCCAGCCAGGGGTCGCCTTCCGAGTCTTTGAAGCGACATTATTATGAATTGGAAATATAGGCGAAGCTAGTTATTGTCAATTGTCAGGATGTCGCTGTTCCCAGCCGAGGAGCTTCTCTCACTTCGGCTAGTTGTCCGGGCGGTTGGAGCTTCGGCTAGCCCCGCGCATTGTTTCCCTCTCTCCGCAAGCTGACATGGCCGGTGCTTGCTTGTTACCCCTATGCTTGCTTTCTAAGATAAGCCCTATGGTGAGATCCGATACTTGATTTGTGATGGTCTGTATACAATGCTTAGTATTTTATTTACAATATTCAGGCGTTACTGAATACCATCACGCTACTAGTAGCTGTTCCAGCTTCGGGTCATGGATTGATTGAGGCTAGTAAGTAGAATATATACATCCTGAATATCAACCAAGACGATCGCTCAGCAACCTATGTGATTCACAATTTAATAGATGTGTTTCAGTATTTCATGCATCCTCCTATTGACCAGCATAACTAACCAGTGCAGTCGATTTAGATGTATTATACTAAAACTGCGCAAATCTTAACGTCATTATTTCAAGAAACTTCTCGGGGTAACCTACTTAAGACACTCGGATATATCTCCACCCATTACGATCATCAAATACCAATAATCACCAAGGTTTCGAAAGATACTTTGTCTCTCTTGAGTATTATCCAAAGAAAGTCATTCATCCAATCCTACTTAGCATCATAAATCCCCGACCTATACAACAGCTAGTATAATAAGTGCTTACTGGACGGTTACCCCTCCGAGGCAACAAGTAAGGATTCCGCCCGTGCGACGTCACCGGTAGTTAGTTGTGTTCCGGCTAACTTCTTCCTAGAGCTGAGAGACAAACAACTTCTTCCTCCTCCACATTCCCACCTCCTTCGGAGAGTCCTGGTCCCCCTATTTCATTGACTGGCAACCCCATTCAATATGACGAATCCAGAACTTCGCGCGCAGGTCATACATATATACAAGGGTATGTGCATCACCCCGACTTCACGCATGCTACCATCTTCCAGTCATTTCTTCTCAGTATCGACTGTCTCGCAGCCAGCAGGCTGACTCCACGCCATCGGTAGAGCTGCTCTTCCTTGGTCGCAATTATCCCCTAGGCTACGAATATTATCGGAACAGGTTACATAAAGCATTTTCCAGCCAAGCGCATCTGGATAATGAGGAGCAGATCCGGAAAGGGATTGCTAGGGCGGAATTTGTCAAAAAGGGTACATTTGACACATGTTTATATTGTTTGCCAGGATATTGAAACTAAGCTGATAATTGGTTCTATTCTACAGAAATCGAAGCATTGTGAGTTACCTTGTGCCCCTCCCTTACCGAAATCACGTCGGCGCCAGACTGCGTGCAATCCCTTATCTACAAACGGTGAAGCATAAAAGTCCAAGTACTAGTACATCTATATTTAATTCTGCCTATCAACCATGTCCGTCCGAATATTCATCGTCTCATAATTATCGAGATAAATCAGGCTCGACAATGTCAGCACCAATGCTGACCAAAAGCGCCCAGGTACTATTTGAAGCGATATCGCACCTTGAAACAGCGCTATGAAAATTAAATGATCCCGGCCGTTCAAAATACCATGGAGCCTTAATAACACGTTCTCAAGAATATTACACCAAGGAATATATATATGCGAAAACTGAAAGGAGAAAAAAGTGGGGTATCACCAATATGAGAGAGACCAATGGTCACGACGCTTTCCGTGTCTTTTTTTTTTTCTTTCCCGCGTTCGCCAGAATACCGGCAATTGAGCTTGTATCCTCTTCGCTGGAAGACGGTTCATTTCTTTCGTCCCCACCAAGCGCTTACTTCCAAGCACTCCCCATTCGCGAGGCTTCCCTTCTGGAACAGATCGGCAATCATGGCAGCCCACCACCTGTCCCATTCATCTCTGGTCTTACCACTAGCTTCCATGAGGATATGCTCCATGCCCTCAATCATCTGAACTACGGTCAAAAGGGCCGTGCGCCGGATGGACAATTGATCTGCGGTCAACTGTCTGCGTGACGCGCCGACCGGATCCTTCCCATGACCTTCACGTTCCCACCGTAGTTCGCCTAGCGGGATAGCGATGCGGCGACTATCAACGTTCTCTAGTACGTCGACTTCTGAGTTAAAAGACAAACCAATTGTCGCACACGGCAAGGCTGTCAATTTGCGTCGGTCAAAGGCCTTTTCGACCCAGGAGTTATAGTCCTGGAGAAACTTGTTCTGAACTCGTGTGAACGGAGTTGCGGAAGAAAAGGTGTAGGTCGCGGTCGCATCGGCCGTCTCTTGTTCCCTTGACGCCAATTTGCGCGCGGGTGCAGGATTGGGAAGCAAAGATCGAAAGACCCAGTCAGAGTCCCAAATCTCCAGAATTCCGCCGGATTTGAGCACCCTCAGTGGCTCGCTTAACCCCGACGCTTGCAGCGCCGGACTAGCTGGACACATTCCTGCGTCCTTAATGAAGACAAAGTCGAAATAATCGTCGGGGAAAGGCAGGCGGGGCTTCCGAAGGTCGTGCCTTCGAAATTGCCAATGGACACCTTTCTTGCGCAGATCGGGGGCGACGGAGACGATGTCGATACCGTGGAAAGACACGTTGCGGTGGCCGCGTCGAGTGAAATATTCATGGCTCATACTGGACCAGAGGCCTGAACCACATGCGATTTCCAGAACCCGCTTTGGGGGTCGGTCGGCGAGGTGGGGGTTGCAGAATGGACCCCCGAACACGCGCATGAGCATGAGCGAGCGCAGGGTCTGACGATGGATCTCCTGAAGATCGCAGGGGAGAGGGTAGTTATTTTCGGGGTCTCTAAGATATGTGCGATCGCCCTGGCGGATCAGGGGAAAGTTGGAGTAGTCATTGAGGGAGGTTAAAGAAGAGGTAGATGTCGCAGCGAGGGTTGGGCCGGTCGAACTGGTAGTCGAATGGAGATCGGAGCCTGAAGTTGCGGCAGGCGCAAAAGTCGCAGGCCCGTTTGACATCATATCCATTTTGGCAGCGAAGATTGGGTTGTCATCGATCTGGTACAGCTAGCAACAACGATTTGCATGCTTGCATACGACAATGGCGACGCAGATCGATCACGGACGGGGCAGAGACGCGATTAATATGGACATGGTAATGTAATGGGGAAGGGAAAGAGCGTGGGAGGCGAAGTGAAACAAACGCTAGTCGGAGGGGGCGGCGAGGAGGAGGAGGGAAGCGAAAGTGAGGCAGTCCGGATACAGTTCCAGGCGGCCTCGACCCATGGGAAGCGAGAACGGGGAGAAGAAGAGGAGGAGGAGGAGGAGGAGGAAGAGGAAGAGGAGGAATGAGGAATAATAATGAGGAGAGAGGGAGAGGACGATGGAGGGGGGGCAAAAACCACATCGTGACCGAAAACGAAATCGCCCCGGCTCGATTAAATGAACCCCCCTTAGGGCCACTCCACTATGACTGCGACTGCCTTTTACTACTTTCTGCCGCTAATCTTCTGGCGGGATTCCGGACGGCGACCTCCCCGAACTGAGCGATTTCACATCCTCGTTTTGGGTGGATTCGCTCCGTATATACTATACATAACTTAATCTGTCACTTTTATTTACTTTTCTAAGTTGATTTTTCACTACTCAAAGTCGGCGCCTGGTACAAAAGGTATCTGCCGAAAGACTCCGGACGATGGAGCTGAACGAATGCGCCCGCTTGGTGGTGGCGGAAAAGCTCCCACCACCACTACAAGTATGCTCCTCCTCAAACAAAACACAAATACTAACCAACCCGCCCGCATAAGCCCTGCTGATCTGATACCAATGACTGTTGTTTTCTCCTGCAGCTGCATCCAAGATCAACAGCCCGAGCTACGGGTTATTGGTTCGATTATTTGCGTTCACTGTTCCGCCCGGTGCCATCTGATCTCTCTTATGCAGAATCAGAATCCGTACATGCGCAGAGGTTACCGGGTGAAGGTGAGCTGAATCCGTATTTCAGATCCGTTTCGAGTGGTCTCGGCTATCTGTGAACCGCCCAAAACTGGGCCCCTTGTCTGGAACTGAATAAGTTCAATGGTCCAAACAAGAATCAAGGTTACAGCGGAGGAAATGTCATCCGTGGTTCTTGTTGTTAAACCAAAATCTGGCCGGCAGAGCTGCTAACAAAAAAGAAGGACTGATAACGATAGCCGGAGTAATGATGAAACTGGGCACGTCCACTGCGAAGTACCCTGCTTCATCCCTTACCCAAGTTCACGGGTCACCCACTCAAGTTCTGACGCCCGAATCCACAGGCCAGCCCACATAGAGCCCTGCCCGGACATGCCGACATCCCACGGAACTGGAAGAACCGCGGCAGATGCTGCTGACTTGCTGAGCTTCCTAGATGGGTCACCTCAAGTCTCCTGATGACACAAGGCAGAAAAATTGCCTTTCTGACGGAATCCGTCCGTTAGACTAAGGGGCGGAGAAGGAAGCAGTTGTTGATCAAGAAAAGTCAAATCAGATATTAAAATATCGAATTATTAACTAAAAAGAAATAGTTAACTATATCTTTTTCTTTTTCTTTTCCCCCTTAGGGAGACGGAAAGATTCTAAGACCCGTCTAGCCTAGTCTCAGGCTCTCTCTTAGGCTATTAGCGACTGACTCCTTGACATCATGATTGTTTTGGCGTTAGCAACTTGATAATTTTAACAATATTAACGAACAAATTTGGGTAGCCGTGTGGGACTGAAGAATCCTAGCAGTGATTTGTAGTAACGATGGCGCTGCCGACGCGTCCACTCACTCGTTGACTTTCCATCCTGACCAACCCTAACTACTCTAATCCGATGGATCTCGGAAGAAGACCAACAAACGGGTAAAGTGCATCGTAACAGATTTGTTAACGAAGGCCAGATCCTGTTCCATCCTACCAGGATTAATTCCCCCGACCAAGCAAGTATCTGTCGGCTGGAATAATCCTTTCTTTTTTCCACCTGACAAACATTTGAAGGGGGAAAATTACATACATGAACCACCAACCAGAAGCCCAAGGACAGATAACTATTTAGTAACCACTACTAGTACTTACTGCTTAGTTACAATGGAGAAAACAAATAATAATCCAATTGTTGTTGGTTGGATTTTGGCCCACGGCGGCCGCAACGCTCCGCCGCCCACCCAGGATGATTATGCATGCCGGGGCCACTTTTCAAACCTGAAAAGACACGTGCTTGCACGGGTCACTTGTTGCCCTGTCAGAGATTGCTCTTTTAACCACTATCCATTCCACTACTAATTGACTAGTTAGGCATTCTTTCCGAGCTCAAGTCTGTCTGGGCTTATTCCGTAGTCCTTCTGGTGGTTTTCTTCTTTCTAGGCGCCAATCTCTTCTCCTCCACACCCCCCGTCACCCCCTTTTCTTTCCCCTTTTGTCGATGAACTGTTACAGGTTTCTTTCCATGTCGTTGTGGTGATGCTGTCAGCTTATGGATTGTCATATTTGCAACTATTAAGGTGTCAGAATCTGTAACATCGGTTCTTATTCCGCCAGTCGGAGGTTTCTGATAGTGAGTGCTGGTTTTGGAAGGCTGGTGCGGGGTGGAAACTAACCTGCCTAGAGCTGTCAGCATTGAATGATGTGATTAGATCTCTTAAAGTCTGTTCCCTGCTGCCTTCTGTTGTTAACATGCTTCAGTATTCGTACAGACTGTTGTACTACCGCCGGGGAACCTAATGTGTAACAGTTTCATCCTCGTGCATGCGGTTTCACACACTGCACTTATACTTTGGACATGGTTACCCAGCGACTTGGTTATGTTACAATCGCCCAACTTCCTCTAACTACATACGTAGTTTTACCCCTTTAATCCCTTTGTAAGCAAATCAGTTCTACCGATTAACTATGTCATCCAGACAACCATTGACTACTACTCTTGTGAGACCCTCACATGATCCCATGACCAAGGGTGACGATCTGATGTTAATTAGAATGGCAGTGCAACTAGACTAGATAAACTCGAACACGATTATACTAACTAGTATACTATGCTAAACGAGACTACTACATATGTATACCAAATCAGTGCCAACTCTCTACAGATACAAGTCATCATGATCTCCGGAGCTAATGTTGATCGCAAGCCAAGCTGCTTTGCTCTTAGCAACCTTATAGAAGTACCGAGTAAAAGTGTACAAATAGAGTTCAGTCCTTGGCATACGGAGGCCAAGCAATGATGAAAGGACAGATTAATTCTCGAAATCTTACTAACTAACGATTCTACTTAGTCTCAATCGATAAAGCGATTAGCGATTAAGAATATCACAGAGATCGGTCTACTGTGCCGGAGAGTCTCTACCATCAGTGATTACCCTCCCGGACTTTACATGTCGAAATTCGGAACCAACTGAACCATTGCAAGGGATGAGTATTTCATCATCTGTCGCAAATAGATGCCATAGGCATTCATTGACCTCGGAGAACGAGTCCGGCGTGCAGGTATGTGGCAGGTGTATGTATGTGTGGCTGGCATGTTTCTATGCATTCCTGATGCACCTGGGGTTCCAGCAAGGAGGGGGTTTGGTTTGCTAACGGTTACTGCTTGTCATTATTTTTGACAGACAGGGCTTGCTGCATAACAGTCGAAGCTGGTGGCAGTTTGAATGCGGTATAGTATTATCCCAGTTCACTTGAAAACCCTGCTTTGTCCCCAGAAAGGGGGTTTGCTG